TTGCAAAACAAGTGGATGTGTCACTAGAATGTTTTCTATTTGAAGAAAACTGTTGATCACTGTAAGAGAGGCTTTTAGCATTAAACGATTATTGAAGGATTAATTTTGGAAAGAGAATTTTTTCTTTATAAACTTCATCCTCAAATGCACTCTTTCTTTTTGAGACCATAAAGATATAAAGTTGTTTTTATTTAGCCAATTGACACGTACAATTTCTGCAGTTGTGATTGTTCAAATTTTGCTCCAAATTGTTTGCTTTCTGCAGACGTTGAAATCAACACAAGCTATGGGAGAAGCCATGAAAGGCGTTACTAAGGCGATGGGCCAAATGAATAGGCAGATGAACTTGCCGGCATTACAGAAGATAATGCAAGAGTTTGAGAGGCAAAATGAAAGGATGGAAATGACATCTGAAGTAATGGCAGACGTTCTTGATGATGCTTTAGAAGGAGATGAAGAAGAGGAGGAGACAGACGAGCTTGTGAATCAGGTGCTCGATGAGATTGGAATTGATATCAACTCAGAGGTAAATGTGCTTGCACACATACAGATTTTTTCATAATGGTTCATATCTTGTCATGGGAAAAGGTATGCTAAACACAATCGTCATTGTTTTTTGTTCTCTCATATGCAGCTTGTGAATGCACCCTCAGCTTCTGTGTCAGTTTCAACTGCTAATAATAGGGTTGCCCAAGCAGAAGCCGAAGATACTGGAATTGACAGTGATTTACAGGCTAGGCTGGATAACTTGAGAAAAATGTAGGTTTTTCTATTATGCGAAATTAATAACTCAAAGATAATAGACATAATAAATCGTGTATTGTTTATAGTTGAACTCTATGTATTTGAAAACTACATTGACAAGTTTGATCTCTTCTTTGGAGAAGAGAATGAATTTAGCACTTGGGATTAGGTAATTCTCTCTTTACAAGTTTAAGCCTTCAAGGAACACAAAGGTTTGGATTGATAGTATAGATTTGCATGAGATTAACCATTCCACTACTTTGTCAGGCTGTTCTAGAACTAGAAGCCTTGAAGCTTTCTGAATGCATATCAAGATCTTCTTATTCCGATATGCAGTTGAATTATTAAACCATGTTTTCTGGCCACGCCTCGCTCTTAATTACATGAGGAGAAAGCTCAATCTGGAGACTGTTAATGTCTACTACCTGAGAAAGCACCTCCTCTGGAGTCCGACAGAGTGGGCACTCTGAATGTGAAGAGAGCCATACGTCGATACACGAAGCATGAAAGACATGGTTGCAGCTGGGAAGCTGCCGTATGCATTCCCCATCTTCAAAAGGTTACAAGCACAAAACACACTCACTTTCAGTATTAGTTTCTTCATTCTCATTTTCTTTCTTGTACGTGACAGTTGGGATCTGCATGATATGTGATACTTCATTCTTAATATTCTCAACCGACTCGGTCGTCCCGGGTGAATAGCAGCAGCAATTGAACCATCCCAGTACTGTGAGATGTAAGAATGTGAGGGATATAATCAGTGAGCAAATAATGGCAATGCCGGAGCAAATGAAGAAGACGGACATGGTGAATTCAGATTAGGAGCTCTCAAGTGTCGTGCTGAACAATGGCAATCAGATAAAAGATGCTGCAGCTGTAACGAACAATGAACGGCAAATCTTATGGACGTATTAACAATTTTGGCAATTGTTCCAGGTACGAATCTTCATAAAACGACATAAAAATGTGAGTCATCTTTTTTGTTTATTATCTCTCTTGACATAGTTCATCAACTTTTGTGGGCTCCTAATTGCTGAACTTGAAATATGTGCTTTGTCTGCGTCGACCCTCATTGCCCATTCCGATTATGCTCAAAATGTGGCTGCAGGCTTGCGCTGCTGTTAAGGTAACTTCTTTCTTTAAGCAATTATTATATAGTATAGGTTCACTTCATATTGTCTTTATCATTTTGAATAAAACCAAATACAGGTGTTAAATTTATATATTTTTAAAGAAAAAGGAAAGTTTTTAATTATTCCTTTTTTTTTACTATTAATTTAGTAGAAATCTTGAGTTTTTTTCTTAGATTTTTTCATTGTCTGCCAATTGTAATTTGGGAGTTAAAACCTAGGAACCAAAAAAAAAAAAAAAAAAAAAAAAAAAAAAAAAAAAAAAAAAAAAAAAAAA